TTTATCTTCTTAACATTTGCCTGAGTCTGCACGTTAAAAAAACCATACGATCATTTGCAGCATTGTGTTCACTTGATTAAACTCCGTGTTTGTGCAATCCGCAAATATTGGCTCTCAGCATTTGCGGTATTTTGTTTCTCAATCTCATTACCTCCTTTAGAATAATCTTGAATTATAAGGTATAATTTTTTGAACATACATCATTTAAATGGAATCTGTTTTCCTGTTAAAAATGGAAACAGACGAAGATTTCAGACCCGTTTGCAATTTGAGAAATGGAAGCTCCCTGCCAGAGCCACTGCAACTTCTGCTGTGCATCTAGCAATATGAGGTAGTCTCTTAATTTGTACCTCTAAAAATCCTTTAGAAGGGATACTAGCTTCAGAGCTACAATTAATCCATTCTTCTAAAATTACCAACAGAATTCAATCTGCCTGGCTTCATAGAGACACATGGATCTTTTGTTATAATAGTAATATGAGCAAAGGAGATAATCGGGAGAGAGGTACTGATAAAGGAAAGGTATGAGTGTGTTAGAAACAAACCTGACCCACTTCATGAACTGAATGCTGATCAGCCAGTTCTGACGTCAATGCGTGTTTTACTGTCCACCAGCAAGACAAACCAGCACTACAACCTACTTCAAAATAACAATCTCTCCTACCTGATCTGGTTCAAACACAGTAGCTTTACCATCAAGATGGCATGATTTCTGCAGACATCTATAAGGCATCTTAATCTGGCAGTTTAGTGGGGCTGGAAGTATACAGAGAGAAGCTCACTATTCCATCCTCAATTCAAAGCTGTATTTAATTTTCACAAATGCACAGATGTTCCCTGTACAGACAACAGGCAAGTTTTATTTGATGACAGCACAGTGTATCAGTGATCAGTAACTGAAATCCAGTCCCTGTGATCCCTTAAAAAACACAGCAAAACATACAGGATACGTGAACAATCCAGCTATCTACAGGCAATAACTTTGAGAAGAACAAAGAATGTTTAGCTTGCTAGTGCTGAAAACAAATTTGATGTCAAACCTGATGGAGACTGCCTGGTGTGGCATTCTTCAGCCGCAACCTTCTCAGTGGACATTTTATCTGATTAATGCCTTCTTGTATGTTACTTATGCTAAAACTTAAGTTTGAGGCTTTTGCTCCTAACTGCCTCATATTTCTAGAAAATAAGTCTATCAAAGCTCTCACCTCAAGATCTTTATGCATCTTCTGTTTCTTGTCCAGTTACTAAGACTGAAAGGAAAGATGCTTTGGATTCTATCTGTCCTCTTCCCTTTAGAGCAATATTAACACAAAACTATTAAATTTCAGTCCAGCCTCCTTGTTTAAGAATAAAAGGTGGCACTGTCATCAGCTCACAGTTTTAGGAACACTTATTTTTGAATCTTAGTTTATTCTCCTGGTAGCTGAAAGAGAGAGGTAACTTTATGCACATTTCTGTATTTGACTGAAAACCACTGTATTCTATTCTTAAAGAATAAAAGCTTCAATAAAAGTCTTAGAAGCATCAGAATGAATCAAGAGGTCCCCTGGAAGTTCGGAAGACCTGGAATGGCCACGAGTATCTATGGGGGTTTCATAGCTGCTTGGAGCGATCAGCAAGGGACAGCCCTGCGCACAGGGCTACGGCCCAATGCAAACACTGACACTGCAGAGCTCTCTATCAAAATAATTCATCAGTTACGCTGTTGTTTTTCAATTGCTAGATTAATTTGAATTAGAGAGTAATTCTAGCTATCAGAGCTGGGATCCTGGCTGCCTTTTGTTCTTCCACAGTTTGATAAATGAACCATGAAGAATATGAACCACTGGAAGAGACTGTTCTCAGGGATCTGTACAGCACCAGATAACTCCGAAATCACAGATAAACCATTCTGTGAAATCATCATCTATCTCCTTTACAGAGAAAAATAAAACAGCTGACTCAGCACAAATCACTACGAAGTTTCTAGCAGTCATAACTTTCCTCCAGCTACTTTATCACCAAAGCTGGACATAGGAATTGCTATCAATCTGATAAAGCAATGATACATGAAAGATACATGGAAGAATCAGACCATATGAATCACAGCCAGTTAATGTGATCATTTACATACAGACCACCTATAATTAACTTTCTGTAATACAGAGGCAGAGCACAAGAGCAGCTAAGAGGAGGAAAAAAACAGCGTAGCTGATGGAATCTAGTAACTACCATTTATCAATGCTTTTATTTGAGTCCCTGGAGAACCTATGCTTGAAATTCCCTGCAACAGAACAGTTCATGTCTCCAAAACCTTTCTTCAGTTAACGGGTCTCCCGAGATGCCTCTGAAGTAGTGTTTTTGTGAGCCTGCATCATGCTTGCACTGCAGTGTTCAGGGAGGCAGGGGACTTGCATCCCCGCAGTGCTAAGGACATCTGTGAAAGGAATACCTCTGAATACGGCCCCGCTCCAGTGCAGCTGAGGCCCCTGGGGAGTTCTGGAAAACTATGCCAGGCTGAACGTGACAAGCTACAGTGCAGAACACTGATGTGGAGGAAAAGAATTTAGAAGGGATAGAATGTGGTGGTGAAAATGGGGAGAAGAGCGGCAGATCGGAAGGCAAGGAAAGAAAGCACAGATGAACAATAGCACAAAAATTCCCTTATACGTAGTTCAGGTACTCATAGTAAGTGGGGTCCGCGTGACTTGCAGCCCTTAAGGCACAGTATTTACTGAAGCCATATGTTGTCCTGGTAAATACAGTTGTATGTTGGCCATAAATCTCCAGGTGCTATGATTGTCAGTAGGTGCTAGAAATAAATGCAAGTTTGAAATCAGAAATGAGAAAAGTAAAAATACTCTACAAATGGTAGTGCTGATGAACCCACTAGATTAAAGCACAACAAGGTACCAAAATCCTTTCACTGTCAAATTCACAGCCTTATTACCAACAGCTGTGAGCGAACAGTGCAGGTGGCCCTCTTCGTTTTTCAGAATTTTGAGACATCACCACCAATTCAATCTCAATGTTATTAGCTGTTATACTTGGGCCACTTCATTATAAAGTCCAGACATCATCTCCATCCCAAACTGTTTCTTTAGCTTTCTTCAGGTATCAAAAGTCCTAAATAAGAACTTATACCAGAACTGCATCTTCCTGCTACAACAGTTGCAAAACCCTTTTACTTCATCTGATGGTAGCTTTTAATATTTTTACAGTTTAACATTAATACAAAAGCCCACAATAAAGTATAAAGAAAATTAAAAGATAACCATACAGTTTAATATCAAATAAAATGAAAAAGAGGCTACTGCAAAGACTCTGCTATTAATTTATATAAAGCATTAAACAACAATTGTTATGAACGTGCTGTAAAATTCCCACTCTGAGATTCTAAAGAGCCATGAAATCCAGAGAACATGCCGAAGAGCAGATTAATAGGCTCCCCTCTCTAGCTTCAGAGTTTGTTTTCCACACTCTTCCTTCTGCCAAAAAATCTCACCTTACATTCAGATTTGATAACAAACAGTAGCCTAATAGTCTATGAAAATGCTGGTTCTGGAGCTCAACATGGCTGTATTTTCCTCTTGTCAATTTTAATTTATCCATTACTTAACCTTTCTGTAAACTCTTAAACCATGTGAAAAAGATGCTAGAGGTGGAAAGGTGGTGGTAAAGGAATGAAGAAATGAATGCTTTAAATGTACAGACAAAACCAAAGGTCAATACAACAGCAACAAACATATCCAGGATCTGGGAAAGCAACTCCATTAATACATACATTGATAAGAAATCCTTCTTAGTCCATCAGTAAAATCCCATTTCATAGGCAAAGATAACCTATGCTGGTTTTTGGGGGTTTTTTTTGATAGCAGTGACTATGGGTTCCTTTTCTTTAAGTTTAAAGAGGATAAAGTTCTTGCTCAAAAAATAGTTTTCATCTCAAAGGTGAGTGCTCATTTTAAAAGACTGTGTAGATTTCCCGATCTGATAAAGATGACTTGAAAGGATTTAAAAGATTTTTCCTGAGGGTGAAGTCTTCCCAATGTTTGCTGTAGTATTGCAGAGAAAGGGGTGAATCTTTGTGACACAGATGCTAACCAGTTAAACAGGTGTTAACTTTTCCTTTAAAATCTTTAAGGACACTATCTTCATACTCCATAGAAAAAAAGGAGCGCATCTTTTAGAGAGCTGCTGGCACATTTAACACTTTTCTGCAATTTTATCCTTACAAAAAGCATCAGAGATCAAGATACATTTTCAGTTCATCCATTTCAGAAATGCCAAAGAGGAAAATTCAAGGGTAATATAATCCAGCAGTGATCTACAACTCCGAAATGTTTTATCACTTTATGTTTCTCAGCCTGACTGGCTATTTATTCACACTTCCTTCTCAGAACTAGCAAGCTTACTCCTATACAAACCAACTTCTTATAGCAGTGAGCCTTCCTTTCCCGCTCCCATATTATTGATGACTGAAGTTCAACAGTCCTCCAAATCAAGATGTTATCTAGCTTTCCCGTTTCAAGTGTTGCTGGGCTAAAGTCAGTATGGAAGGATTCGTAGAATTGTAATGAGTTGACAACCGCCAAAATGATTTCCATTGCTAGCAACATCTGCTGTGTCTAAATTTATAATTAAAATGAAATCATGCATGCAAAAAGAAAAAAAAAATCAATAAGCTTCCATTATGAGTTTTTCTAATGTTGAAAGAAGTTATTTGATTAACTCTGTTTTAACCTGAACATCTGGCAGCATTATAGACATGTTATGACACCCACAAAAATGACTATAACTCCAAAAATTATTTCCTTTTTCCTGAAAGTATAATAGAGCTAATCTAGGAATTTTTAGCTACATGTACTGTGATATCCATAATACAAAAATATTACATGTAATACCACTCTGATTTTCTGTACCTTAAGCACAGCAGAGTATCTTGGGCAGCAGCAAATGAATTACTGGAACGGCCTTCATAAAAATAAGGTGTTACTGAATATCATCTACATTCTGAGTACCTGCTATTTTGATGTTCATGTTGTTGTCAAGCAAAAGATTTTCAGCCTTCAGGTCACGGTGAACAATCTTTCGACCATGGCAATACTCCACTGCTGAGAGGATCTGCCAGAATTTGCGCCTGGCCTCAGACTCATTTAGACGGCCATGGCTGGCGAGGTAATCTGTTAAAATAAAGCAGGTTTAAATGGATTGGACCTAAACCAACAACCCTGAAACGAAACGATGTCTCTCAAATATTTAGCACTAGAAAACTCAAAAAGTATTTCAGCCAATCCCAGTTTCCAACCGATTACTCTCGCACCCTCCCCTCCAAAAGAATGGAAAAAAAAAAAAGAGTACGAAAAGGCTGCTGTGTAATGAAACTCTACTCTCTGTTCCTTCTTTTATAGTTAGTTACCTGACTATTCTGAGAAATATTTTCATATAACACAACTCCTGTGGAATGGGGAATACTTGGAACAACTGGCTTAACCCTGATGAGGTACTTTAAGCTTTAGCCTCTTATCAGTTCAGGCAAGCTGCTTCATGCCACTCTTCTCCCTCTGAAGCCTCAACAGAGGCTGTAGGCTGTGTGGTGGCCAAAAGTACTTTTTCTCTGGAAATAAAACAAGTACCCATAAGGTACCCATCCTTACCTCTCTCTTGTCTTCACCGCATCACAAGCAGAAAGAACATTTTGTTTTCATATTTGATTATGTTGTAAAAACTAACATTAGCCCTGAAACAAATGATAGCTCTGAAACCGAAGACTTCATTTATCCTCAGGAACAAAACCAAGTGAAGCAGCAGCTGTGTGAGTCTTGACAGAACCAGCTTCTATAGCCAATTCTATTCTTTCTCTTATGAGGCATAAAATCAAAGAATCAACTGTTAGGATGGTTTTAGAATTGCCTTCAACATCCTACAAAGAATGCAGTTAATGGCCAAGGTGCAGCAAACGCATTTACATACTGGACCCAGTGATCGCAGGCAAGGGCTGAGCATATACACACCTAGCAATCTCCAACCACTTGCTGCATCACAACTAGTTCTGAAGTTAAACAAAAAACAGTGAGCCAGAACTAAACTGCTGGAGCTGCTGCCGGGCCCTCCTAATTATCATTTACAGAGAAGGTCCCATGAACAGGAATCATCATTTACAGACCAGCTGACACAAACTTTTCTGTCTGAATTCAATTAACAGGTTAAAACAGCTGCTTCTGCAAGTTGAAAAGTGATCATGATGTAATGGAGGTTTTGAGCCTACTTCTGTTTATTTATAAGAATCTCTGACAAAATCCTTAAGTAAAATGATTAATTGTATCTTCTAAGGTAGTTATGTAATCTCAGTGATCCAAAGAGGATCATCTTGCCCAACGCCACAGTGCCAAAGCAGAACTGTGGCTTTGTTAGGTTGTGGGGGTTTTTTTTAAATAAAATATTGTTTATGGGCTTTATAGGTGCTTGCAACATTTTCATTTAAGCTTTTCTGCTTTCTTTATGATAAGCCGAGAAGGCCTGAACAGCTCACATTAAGCACACTCTAAAACCCGAAAATACATTTACAGTAAAACTTCACCGATGGCGCACTTTCTGCTTCATTGTTACTGCACAAAAGGACAAAGAAATGTGTTGTTCAAGAGGAGGGGGCACAGACCCACCCACAAACCATAAGGATTTTTGCAAATATTCAGAAAAACATGAAAAAGAAATAATTTGTTGTTGGATTGTATAAAACCAACCATTTCACTGACCGTGCATTCTTAGACATGACGAGTTCTCTGCTGCCACTTGGGTCGCTAGACTACGCTGCCATGAAGTGCTCCAGACAGTATCATATTGATTATCAAAGTGACTTCTGAATGATATTTTCCACTCGTACAGTTTATATAAACAAATGCAATCTTAATTAATCTTCTTAATACGCCCAGTAAAACAGGCTTATTTAAAAGATGTCTTATAGGGGCATCATTTAGGAAAAAGTTCTATACGCCATTACCGAGGTAACTTAACTTTGTTTTACTTGTGGTGGGACTGAAAGGATTTCAAGCACTGCTGCTACTACCTCCCAAGCATATTCTGCAAGCACAGAGGTGGCTGCTCCTGAACCATCTGAAGTGGCAGACTAGAGACCTCGGGTGCAGTATACTCATTTCAACATCCCTCAAAAACATTTTTAAGGAAAGCACATTAGAACTGATAACTCTCCTCAGAGCTTCTAACCTACCTAAGCCTTAATGTACTTTCAGCTGGTTTAACTTGGCAAAGCATAAGAACAAACAAAAGCCTGGCAGTAAGGGGAGATCATAATATTTGCAAGCTAAATATCATTCAGTCACAAAGTGACTGACAAATCATATGATATCAAGGTGAAGTCGGATATCAAAGGCACAAACTAAATCACACTGAATGCAAAGCCAGCCCTTTAAGCTGTTAATCCATCATTTGTTAGCAACGCAGGAAATAAGTTAATGAATCCAAGCTGTCGTTTGCTTTTATGGTTCTAGCCTGTCAGGACTTTAATTTAAAGGTTCCAAACCACCTTGGCCTTAAGCATTACACCAAGTCTAGTAGTCTGCACAGAATAGGTCATTTATTCTGAAATATACCGCTTTCCCTCCCGGAGAAGCAGAACATACCACAGTCTATCTAAATAGGTGATGGTATGTGCAAAGATACTGTTTGTGCATTAACCAGCTTGCAAATAGGAAAGGCTGGGATACAGGCAGTGTGCCAGCCCCCGGGTTACAGAAACCACTTTGCAACAGCTGAAACTTGCTAGAGACATTCTGCCACAATAGCCAGAATCTGGACACTGGCTGAATATGCACGTCTGTACCTCTGGAGCTAAGAACTCCTTAGGTTTTGCTGCAGATACCTAGAGCAAAGCACCCTGTTGTACCTTGCAAAGACTGAAATAGCAAAGCTACTTATGCTTTCATAAATGTATCCTTTGACAAATCTTACCCTCATGTCATACCCTCTGGCTACATGTTTCTATGGTAGGGGTTTGGGGTTTTTTTGTTGTTGTTGTTGTTGTTTTGTTTTGGGTTTTTTGTTTGTTTGCTTGGTTGGTTGGTTTGAGTTTTTTTTCCCCCCATAAGAAAATAGAAACCAGAAGCTATCTTGGATTCAGCTGGATCCAGAGCAGAAAGCAGGACTGTTGTCACAAGGCAGTTTGCTGTCCAGCCTTTTCAGGAGTCCAAAGTACATTTGTTTACTGGACAGTTGAAAGATTAAGGTGGTATTTACTGCAGAACAAACGACTCGGAGACACTGTTTGGCAAACCCAGTGGTCAATGCTTTTCATTTAAAATATGGTCCTTCATTTAGGTGGACAATTGTAAACATTTTAAATTTGGTATGTTACAGCTCTGTTAAAGAGGTGCGTACATACCAAAGCAAGTACAGTGAAGGATAATGAAGATGATTAAGGGACTGGACACTTGTCATACACGGGGAGGCTAAGAGCGCTGTGGATGTTCAGCCTGGGGAAGACAAAGTGCAGAGGGGAATCTTATCATGCATATAAATACTTGACAGGAGAAAGACGACAGAGCCAGACTCTTCTCAGCAAAAGTAACCCAGCAAAAGGACAAAAGGCAGTGGGAACCAACTGAAACACAGGAAATTCAATTTAAAGCTAAGAAAAAGGGGTTTTTTTTCTGTGCAGGTGGTCAAATGCTGGAACAGGTTGGCTAGGGATTGTAGTCTCCATCCATGGTCCAGAGCAACCTGGTCTGGTTGATACTGCTCTGAGCTGCAGGGCTGGACTAGACGTTCTCTACCATTCCCTTCCAACCTCAACTCTTCTGTGATCTGGGTTCAGTGTAAGGCAGTGAAGACATCACTCATCCAGTTCAAGCTTAGTAAGGGACAAATAATCCTGTGTTAGGGGACAGTTGTAGTCTTATGAATGCCTATTAACAGAAGCAGTAATAATCAGTTAGAATTTCAGCCAAGGAAATCTACATTAAATATTAGGAAGAATCTTTATAATTAGAAAAACCCTCAGATCCTGAATAGCTTTGTCTAGGAAGGTTACTGAATCTCTCTCTAGGACATTTCCGAGAATGATGCAGCTGATCCTGCACCAAGGCTAGGACATAGCAGATAGCTGCTCAAGCCCATTCCAGTCCAGCTTTCTACATCTCTGCTCAAAACATGTATGAAGTTGTCCAGGACAAACTGCTAGGTAAAACTAGGCTCTTACAGGTACTGACATAATTAAATACTAATACTCTAAGAAATCCAAGAGATGGCCAAATGTCTCCTTCATGTGGAAGCATTTCTGGAGATAGTTCAAGTTTATTATTCACTTAAAGAGGTGCAAGATGCTGAGAAGTTGATGTTGTAAGCACAGAGGTTTATATTACCAAACATGTCTCCTTAAGGCTGAAGTATTTATGCAGAAATACTCTAGAAAACCTGTAAGACTATCTTCTATGTTGACTGAGCCAGGATACTGCAATATTGCAAAGGACTACTGGACAAAAGAATGCTACTTGGCTTCCCTAATGAGTAGAACAAAATCCAGAACAGAATTTAAATTTGGTTAAACTGTGCATCAGTTACTGCCTGTTTCCAAGAGAAGCACACAGGAACGTGTCAATAAAACTGTAATGGCACGCTTACTTTTTCATTTGCACAACCATAGCACACTTTGCATGACTACTGCATGTACATATTTAATGTAGGAGTGTTTTCGCATCTAGCTGCTGGTTTGTGTAAGAAATGTTTTTCAAAATATTTACCAGCCTCTCTGCAAGTTCAGTGCTTTGCTATTCCAAAATCATACTTCTCAGGGATGTTTGCTTTTGCATGTGTAGAAGATGAGACCCACCAGACTGCCTGGGCTGATCTATTTTCCCATACAACCACTGGGCACACACTGGGAATGCACAAGAGCCTCTTGCAAAAACAGGCTTAAGTCCCAAGGTACCCTTTGGGACAACAGAGGCAGAGTATAACAGGACTGACTAAAGGAGCTTATTTTGCATTTCTGTGCATTACTATCATTCCACAAAAGTAATTTTTTAAATGGGGTGGTGGATGCCCTGGCTGGCATCTAGCAAGAGTAAGAAATAAACATTTTGTTTCCATGGTGAACGCTTTTGAAAATGTCAGAATAATGTTATGGTTCTTCACAGTAAAGCAGAGAGATGCCTGTGTAAGAGTAGGA